ATATATACACACACATACACACACACACGTACATACATACATATACATATATACACACACGTACACACGCACACAGAGTTGGAAATTGATTGGTGGAAAAAATTGCTAATTTGTGAAGTGACAACAGAAGAAAAGCTGAAGAGCCAGGTGCAGTTGCTTCACCTACCTGAGTGAGTCAGTAGGCTTGCCAAGTTAAGGTTGGTTTGGGCAGCTTAGTGAGATCCTGTCCCACAGTAAAAACTAAAAAGGGCTGGGATGTAGTTCAGTGGTAGAGCACTTGCTTCTCTTCAGATGTAGTATCAGAGAAGGCTAGGTGAAAAGCTGGAACTTTAATATGTGCTGGGTGGTAACAAGCACACACATTTCTATTCCTGCTAAGATGACATCAGAGGAGACCTAGCAGTGAGTCAAGAATGAGGCTATTCCATTGTGTCAAGGATGCTGTCTAGGGAGCAGTAATGACACTCCTCTGATTCAGTCATGGTACAAGTAAGGGCCCAGGGAGAGGCTAGACTCAGTAATACTACCTAGTAGTAACCCTACCCTATAGTAACGAGTACATCCTCATTTGGAGGTCCCAGCAGCTGAGTGGAGAACCTTAAGTTCCACCTCTACTCTTCATACTCACCTGGCAGAAACCAGGCAACACCCTTCCTTGTCTGCTGACACAGTGTCAGCACAGTCCTGCTGTGACATAATGCTTTTAGATCCTCAGTCTGGTATAACATCCAGAGTGTCATTAAAATGTTTCTATAAGCAATAATCCTTGAAACAAAAAGCAGTCTCAAGAAAAGAATACAGGCTATAAAGAAGAAATAAGGATATTTTAGAAGTAAAAATATACAATAAATAAACAGTGGATGGCTGACCAGCGAATGGGTAAGATGGAAAAGAATCAGTGGTCTCAAGGATGGAACAGTATAATTACTCATTCCAAACTATAAAGAGATAGTAGAACAGAAATAAAAAATATGCAGGACCTGAGAGACTTCTGGGACTTTAACAAATGGTCTGAATTTGTGTCATTAGAGTTCTAGAAAGAGAGGCAAAAGATAGTGAGACTGAAAAAGTATTTGAAGAACTAATGGCTGAATATTTCTTAAATTTGGCAAGCTCCAAACCTACAAATTGAAGATGCTGAATGAAGCCCAGAGAGGAAAAAACAAAAAGATGTTCAGATACATTGTAGGCAAACTTCTGAAAACTGAAAACAAAAAAGCTGTTTATCTGTAGTGGAAAAGCAATTTGAATGACAGTATAGTTCTCATCAGGAATCATGAAGTTAGAAGGAAATGACATATTATTTTCAGATGCTGAAGGAAAGGAAAAATCAACTCAGAATTAAAAATCAAGTGAAAATGTCCTTAACGTCATTTGTGACCAGTAGACCAACTTTAATGTAGTAGGTAAGGAGGTTTTCTATTAAAAAAATAAATGATAAAAGGAATGTGGGAACCATCATAGGGAACAACAATAGAAAGACCAAAAACATTGGTAAATTCAGTTCTTGTTTTTAATGTTATTGAAATATGAAGCATAACTGTTTCTCAGTGTACAAGAGGAAATATTTAAAATGCTTCTAAATAGGAAAGGGTAAAGAGATAATTTAATACCTAGAATTGCTACTAACAGTTATATGAAAGAGATAAACTCAGAAATACTATAGATAAATACAAATGAAATTGTAAAAAATGTTCAAGTAATTCGTGTGAAGGCACAATAAAATACAGAAGAGAAGGAAGGAGAATGAATTACTCAGCATGACCTACTAGGTTTTATTTCATGGATGTAAGATTGGCTTAGTATTTGAAAATCGTCAGTGTAACTGACCACGTTAGATCAAAAAAGAAAAGCTTTGACCCTATATTAATTGACGCAGAAAAAGACTATGGCAGAATTCAATGCTCATTTGTGAAAGGAACTCTTAAAAAATGAGTAATAGAGAGCAATGTTCTTTACTTGAATAACTGCAAAAAATCCTGTGGTTAGTATCATAATGGAAGAGGGATGATTATTTTTATCTTGAGATTGGGTGCAGAACAAGGATTGTTTGCTGTCACTATTGTAATTCAGCTTACTAGGATTTCTGTAGCTAAATGGATAAAAGGAAACAAAAGGCTTACAAAATAGAAAAGAAGAAATTAAACTGTCCTCCCTCTTTTTTTTTTTTTTTTTTTTTTTTTTTGGAACCCGGGATTGAACTCAGGACCTTATGCTTGCGAGGCTAAATCCCTGGCCCCCTCCCTCTTTCTTGATGATAGGATAAATAGAAAATTCAAACCAGTTTACAAAACAATCTCATTTATAAATTCAGTAAGTGCATGATATAAATTTAATACACAAAATCATTTATATTTCTATATGCTAGCATTTAACATAGAACTAAAATAAAAATATACCATTATTTAAAATTGCTGAAACACTAAAGAGAAAACATATAATTTTTACGCAGTAATGCAAAAACTAAGGAGTTGTAAATAAATATTGTTTCCATAAACAATGGAAGGCTTAACATAATAAAAATACTACTCACATTCATATATATATATAAAACAAAATTGCTATCAAAGTTCCAGCAAGAATTTTGTAGATATGGAAAAGAATATTCTAAAATTTCAAAGGAAGATGAACTAAAATAACAAAACAATTTTGAGAAAGACTTAAGTGGTGGAAATCACCAGCTGATTTCAAGACTTGTTGCATACTAATTAAAACTCTTACTGTGGGAGTAGATCAATGGAACAGAATAGAGAACTAAAAGTAATCCTTCATACTTACAGATTTTTTTTTTTTTTTTTTTTTTTAACCATTGGGACCTTGTGCTTTCGAGGTAGGCAGCAGAACCACTGAGCTAAATTCCTGTCCCAGCCCTGATGTAAACACTTTGTAAATAGTGATGCTCTGTTGTTTAGAAACTAATGTCAAGAAAAACAGTCTACATGTTTTGTACAGATAGTTTTCCCTCAAATATTTTTGATTTGCATATAAAGACCTAGAGCAGTGGACAGGAATCTCTTTAGTTCCAAGGGTTGACTGTGTATGAAATGGCCAGTGTAGCCAAATTTACAGATTGAAAAAGTAGATTAGTGATTCCCTAGTGCTGGCTGTGGGGAATGGGCGTGGAAAATGAGAGTGGCTGCTAAAGGAAATGGGGTTTTTTTTGGATTGATAAAATTATTGATTGCGGAAATGATTGCATAATTCTGTATGTACTGAAAATCATTGACTTGTACATTTTAGTTCTTTTTGTTTGTTTTTTGGTGTTTGTTTTATTTTGAGACAAGAGTCTTGCGCTTTAGTTCAGAATGTATCCTTGAATTCAGAATATATCCGAGGCTAGCCTTGGACGCACAGTAATCTCCCTGCTTTGATTACAGGTGTGAGCCTTAACACCTGGCAAATTGTACATTTTAAATTGGTGATTCATATGGTATGCGAATTATATTTCAATACTTTTTTTTTTTAAAGTAAACATACTTTTGTTCTGTGACTCAGCAGTCTCACTCTTCCAAAAGAATGAAAACAGAGCTGGGGATTTAGTTCAGGGGTTCTGCCGCCTGCCTCACAAACTCAAGGTCCGAAGTTCATTCCCCAGGAAAAAACAAAACAGAACAAAACAAAAAAACTATCCACACCAAAAGCTGTATATTATTATTTATAGCAATTTATTTGTAAGAGTAAAATAATGGGATGAACTTTTACAATAGATGAATAGTTATGAAACATTCTCCAAATGACGAAACTATAGAGTCATGGTGTACAAGTTAGTGGTTGTCAGAAGTTACGGATGGGTCTGGGAAGGGGTGTTGGATGACTAAGGAGAAGTGTAGGATTTTTTTTTTTTTTTTGTGGTACTAAGGACTGAACTCAGGACTTTGCACTTGACAGGGAGGCACAGCACAACTGAGTTGCATCCAGGGCTCCTGAGTGTGATTTTTGTAATGACGGGAAAGAAGGTTTGGTAATAGTTATAGAAATATATATATGTAACAAAGTGAAAACTGTATGTACAAAGTGACACTGTACACACAATTTATATGTAGAGCAAAGTGAAACTACACGTCAATTTTCTGCTTTAACAAAATTAACAAATTGATCAAGAAGTTGTACTGTTTGAGATGTAACCATTGGGGAATTTTTCTGTACCATCTGTGTAACTTCTCGTGAATCTGCAGTTATTTCAAAATAAAAAGTAGAAAAAGTGATCCTGGTATTTGTGGTAAAATGAAGACTTCATAACTAACAAGTTTTGGTTAAGAGCAATGAAAAGTTTTATAACTAAATGAAAGCTTTTAAGAACAGTTTTACATATAAATAATATAAAGTTTTTTGTAGGTTTCTGACTTAGGTTAGGCTTTGTTTTTAATTTTTAATAAGAGTTACCTATGTGCATTCTAAGTAGTATATAATGAAAAGGAAACTAATTAAAATTCAGTGTTCCCATATTTATATACTATTTGTAGTACTATTTAGAAAAAATAATTACAGATTTCCTTATATTCTAAGATTAAGTTAATTGATTTCTACTACTTTAATTATAATACTAGAAATAAAATGAATTTTATTTTTATAAGAGGTAAAAAGAATACTTTTATCATCAGTATTTAGCATTGTAGTTAGGATGCTTAATAAACCAAATAGGAAATATTTTGTCTATCATATTATTGATAATCTTTATGAAAGACATGCACTTTTTTTTGGAGTGAATACATTCTGTTCCTGATATATCACTTTTTTATGCTTGAATAAATTTTCTTTAAAATAAATTAAAAGAGTTTGTGTTAAATGATTCTGTAGCAGAGCATGGATGTGTTGTAATAAGCTAGAGCCACTTGGAAAGGAGTTCTAAGGAATTTTTGTCACATCTGGCACAGGATATGTGAGGAGTTAGAGGTTGGACAGTCCAGCTGGCCTTGGGATAATGACCTGTTATACAGTCACTTAAGTCACTTTTTCAGCTACCTGCTTGGAATGTGGATGCTTTTTTTTTTTTGCCACAAAAGCAAACAATTATTTTCACTGAGGGCACAGCTTAAGGGAGCGGCATTATTGTAGTACTTATAAAACCGTGAATCTTTTTTTTTCATTGGGTTTATTGGTACATTTTAGGTATACAATACAGTTACATGCATCTTTGGGATCTTGTACCTTTACATAACGTATCTTGGTTCTTATTTTTTCCCCATTCCCCTGCCTCCCTTCACCCCCCCACCCTTCCCTATTTACAAAGACTTTGTTTCCATTTTTTCCTTTTCTCATATTTTTTCTTTTCCCTTTCTTTCCCCTGCCCTTCCACTTCCATTCCCCCTTTCGTATTTTTCTTCTTATTTCACATTATCAGTTATATAATTTGAGCCTTATTTATACTTTTAGTTTTTCACACCAGAGAAACTATTTGGTATTTACACGTGTGTGTCCTTTGGGAATGTGGATGTTTATATAGTCCTTAGGGTTATTTTTATTTTATTAATTTACTTTTCAAAGCAAGCACCTAGGTTTTACTTCAGTTGATAGTAATTTAATTTGATGGTTATTTGAAAGGTCAGCATATTCTTCCCACCAAGTTGATGTATTCATTTAATAGATCCACCCCCCTAATACTCAGTCTTCAGCCAATTTCCTTTTCTAAATCAAGATGACTTTGGGTCATGACATGTTCTATTTGGCCTTACACAGTACTGGAGGAAAAACAATTCTGTTGTAATGAAGCCCAGTGCTGTCTGTCAGCATTTACCTGAACTGGCATAGTGACAGGATTGTATTCAGAGAAGGGATCAATACCTAGTAGCAAAAAATAAGTGAGTAATGTTTCAAACAGATAAATCTGTAAGTGAAGAAGGAAAATGTAGTATGTAAATTTATTACTTAATGTTAACATAGTGATATATTGATAGGAGGAATGGAAAATGGCATGAAACGAGTAGAAAACACCCGAAGTAGGTGCATAATAGTGTTTAGAATTACTTAGAGATTTGTGACTAGTTTGAATTGAGATGTAAATATAAAGTTCACACTTACTTTTGAATAGGTAATCATAAAAATAATATTGGCAATTATTTTAGACATACTGGGTTAAATGACTTGTTAAAAAGTAAATTCACATGTTTTTACTTTTAAAATATGGCCACTAGAAAACTTAAAATTACACGTATGGCTTGTATTGTGTTTCCCTTGGACTGTAGAGTATTACTTTAGAATCTACTGTGGTTCAAAATATGCAGTTATAATTAGTTACTTTGGAGTAGTAACCAGAACCAGAGGCAAGTTGAGCTAAAGGAGAATTTTTTTTTTTTTTTAATGCTCTATGCAATTAAATTTTTAAAATGTTAATGACATTTGAAAAAATTTATCTTTTTATAAAAGCTGTGGTTTCTACCCTAAAACATTTTGATCTGTTGTACTCTGTTATTTGTTAAATGTTAACCATAGTGAGGAGGCTTGTAATTAAAAACAGTAATTACCCATTTTTAATTTCAACTTGCTATATCAGAAATAAAGTCTGTTTTTTCTGCTGTTATTTAGCTTCTTGCAGGAGTGACCAGGATACTACCTTCTAGAAGTAATGCCCACAGAAAGCGGAAGTTGTTCAACTGCTCGTCAAGCAAAACAAAAACGCAAATCACATAGCCTTTCTATACGAAGAACTAACAGCTCAGAACAGGAGAGGACAGGCTTACCAAGAGAGATGTTAGAAGGACAAGTAAGTTATGGAGCACTGCCCTATTTTGAAGATGGAGATCATGTTTTTAATGTTATAAAAATAGCCAAATGCCTACTGTTTTCTAATGCATTAATATTATATAGGGAAGTTTTGATTATATTTTTTCTAGTTCCCTTATTGATGATGAATATGTTAGAATTTTTAAAAAGCCTTTTTGTCAACAAGTATATTACAATAAACTATATATTTACATATATATACATATAATGCTTACACAAATATTATATAAGTATAAATGTATTTATAACCCTTTCTCCACAATTAGAACTAATTGATCAACCATAATGCTGCAGGAAAATAAAGTTTAAATCTGAGAAATTGTTTCGTTTCTTTTCTTTTTTTTTTTGGTACTGGGGATTGAACTCAGATCCTTGCACTTGTGAGGCAGGTACAGAGCCACCGAATTAAATCCCTGTGAGAAATTGGTCCTGATGAATGAATATTTAGTCTGGTTAGAACCATGTGGATAATTCTATGCCTGAGACTTCTAGAGTATAATCTCCACAAAGGCAGTACTGTGGTACAGAACCCAGCACAGCTGTTGACATAATATAGACATTCACTGTGGACTCAGCTATTATGTGGTATCTGTGGGGAATTGGTTCCAGGATTGCCTGAGCGTATTAGAATATGGGTGTTTAAGTCCTTACATACTAATGGTCTAGTATAGTGGTGGAAAACCTATGGCATGTGTGTTACTGTGTAAGATGTTAATGTGTGAGTTAGTTTTTTCTAAACTAAAACCTCAGAATTCAGATTTCATTGCAGTGTTGGCACTTTGTGATAAATAAGTGAGTTTAGGGTTACAGTTTGGGCACTGGTCTCTAAAAGGTTTGCCATCACTGATACAGTATTTGCGTGTAACCTGTGCATATCCTGTATACTTTAAATCATCTCTGTTATTTGTAGTATCTTATAAAGTTAGATGCTGTGTAAAATAGTTATTATATTGTGCTTAGGAAATTATGATAAGAAAAAAAGCCTGTACATAATTTTGCATCCAAATAATTTTGATTCATAGTCGATTGAGTCCGCAAGTGTGGAGCCTGTGGATATGGAGGGTCAGCTGTACCCAGCTGTTTTTTTTTTTTTTTTTTTTTTTTTTTTTTTTTTTT